ATTAATTATGGTTAAGAATGGTTAGTTGATGATGTTTGAGCATGTGCATTGTGTATAGTGAGTAATTTGGTTGATTTGGTGAGTTAATGGATTTAATTTTTGCCTAAACATGATTATAGCTAAAAGCATATTATTATTGTTAATTCTAAATAGTTATAATCATAATTGTTGCTATTTTCACTAATTGGGTTATAATTATTCCATATCTTATTTCAATTGGTGATTTTGAGCAATTTTTGGCATAAAATTATGGCTCTTCTTGTTTGGTCCTTTTACATTAGTTATTGGACGAATTAGCACTTGAAGGGACAAATTGGAGATTATTTGGATCATTTTAGGATATTCATTGCCAAATTGTGAATTGTGTCTAAGTACATGTGGTTAATGGCAACATTTTCTTTTAGGTACTATGCCAAGGGGAAGAAGAGCGGTACTTTCATCCTCTAGTAGTGAGGAGAGGGAGGTTAATGAAGAGATGGAAGTGACTGAGGAGGAGAATTCACCTTCTCCTCCACCAGTTAGCCGTCAACCGGGTGAGGGCACTTCCCGTGGAGCGGGAAAATCATTATTTGACAGTGCGAGGTTCAACACTCGGAGGAATCAGGAGTGGCATGAGGCGCGTGTTAATTTGGAGTTTTTGTTTGAGATGCATGTCAGTCCACCAGTTGAGATGATGTACAACATCTCAGATGCTTTTGCTCAGCTAGGATGGGCTCCGATTCTCACCCTTCCAAACCATTACTACCCAGACTTGGTGCGCGAGTTTTACACTAACATTGAGAGTAAGGCGCGCTATAGTGGAGAAATAGTTGAGTCCTGGGTACGTGGAAGACGAATCACCTTGTCACGTCAAGATTTGGCCGCTATTTTGGGGTGTATGGATGACGGCCGTCCAGTAGATTTGAAGAAGGAGTTTGTTCCCCCGAATAGGAGGTGGGATCCCTCGCTGGCCATGGCTAGGTTTGGTCTTGAGTACCAACCTTTTCGCTCTACAAGGAAGGAGACCATTTTGGCTAATGTCTTCGAACCTCGTCATCGGCTTATCATTTACATGATGGCTCACAATGTCATCCCAAAGAAGACGGGGCACACGGAGGTCCGCAAGAGCGATATCTACTTCTTGGATTACATGTACGTATGTTTGCAGTGAATTGGTGTAATTCGATTTTTTTAACTTGTATATTTGCGGTTCGTTCTGGAACCGTGGCCATGCCTACACCAAAGGTACATCTATTCAAATTGGTATACAGCTATAACACTAGTCATTACCTTAAATGCATTAAATTTATTTTATAATTACAATAGCACTTTCAATCATTTTACATTCCACCATTAATAGAAATAATAAAGGAAAAAACTTACTAAAACTAATAAAAAATTCATAGAATGACGTAAAGGGGAACAATAAACTATTTAGGAAGATAAAAACTTTAACTCAAATGGCATAAAAGAGAACAACATTCAAGTCATTCAAATTCAACCAAAAGACGAAAATATTGATGTTATTACAAAACAAAAGTGCTCTTGTGATAAAGGATACTTTGCTTCTTGCGCATTTGTGTTGGTTAGGATAAATCATGTTTCAAAAAATATAAAAAAATATAAACGTTTAATATCACATTATTTTTATCTCAATTTCATTGATTTTTTTTTTAAATTTTTGAGAAGAAAAGGAAAATCGAAACGCATCATATTCACGTGGAAAACACCTTCTCTGTTACTAGTGTGCATATGTGTGTGTATATATGTGTTATGTGTATATATATATATATCTGTGTGTGTGTGGGTGTGTGTGTGTATGTACGTACATATAAATATGTGTGTATCTTACCATATGTCAAGTGCCTAAGCATTTAGCTACAGTGAAATCAAGAGGGAGTTTTGGACTAAAAGGAAAACTAAACATAGTTCTAAAACTGAAGGGGGAGGAAAGTCTAATTTTTTTCCTTAATATTAACCGTAAGATGTTATTTTCTTCTTGATTGCTTGAATGATTTTGTGTTGAATTTCATGATCTCTAATTCATTGAATTTCAAACAAAAAATGGGGATAAGTATGTAGATCTATTAATTTTGTTGTCACATTTTAAAGAGAGCATATCATTCTTTGCTCATACCTATGCATTCTAAACTTATTTAGCACATGGTAAGATACACATTGTTTAGAGATGACCAAAAGAATGGTTGTAGAAAGCAGAAAATCTCATATTTGAACTCTAGTTTTTGAGTTATATGTCTTTCTCTCAATATATCATTTAATCTTTCATTTCCTTTTAAGATTTGGATTCATTTTAAGTAATATTTAACTAGTAAGCTTTTATAATCATGAGTATAGTATCTAGTTGACATACAAAACTTAGTGATTGGAACCTGCTTGCAAGTAACAGAGAAACAAAATACATTGATATAAATTCAAACACAGACGGCTGTTTTTATTTATTTAATGGTGCATTTTTGTTCGTATAAGTGCACCTTTGACATACTAGTACAATGACACAAACTCAAACACCGACGGATTTTTTTTATTTAACGGTGCATTTTTGTTGGTAGAACTGCACATTACATATTAGTACAACAGCAGGGAGATGTATTCATGCCAGCAGTACATCATCCATGCAGAAACTGAAAACCACACCAAAGACACTATATAATTAGAGTACTTAATGTCGTTGATCCTCAGTTGATCAACAGCAGTGCTTGCTTATTTCTTGTGCCAGATGAGTTTCGTTTCACTTGGGGTCTCAAGAACAAGTGCTTTGTGGAGATATGTGGCACCGTCGCTATCCTGATTTTCAATGATAAGTGCGTAGTAATAACCTCCATCACCGCTCCAGGTGAATCCGCCAACCACGGCGACGAAAAGCAGCTGGCCGTGGTGACATTGTTCCACTACATATTGTCCGATCTGGATCACGTGAGGGTCAGCTGGCTTCACTGGTTCTAGTGAACTGATGTCGTTCTGTGAAACCCAAACAATTGAGTTCCCAAAATCAATCAGAATCCTTTCAAATAAACAAACTGCTTATAAGAAAACTAAATCCGACCAATTAATAACAAACTGTATCACTCAGAAGAAGCTTAATCAGACAATTCATGAGACCAATTAATGTGTGTAGACAACTAGAAAACATAAAATATTGCTTAAGAAAATTCAAGAATGTTAATGTTACTGTAATTTGCAACTCCTTATACTCTTCCAAACGCTATTTACCTTTCCTCTGCCAATAGCAGATTTGGCTGCAGCCATTTTTTCCTTAAAGAGCTAGCTTGCTAATTAATAAGGATGAAAATAGATATTTGTAAGTGGTTACTGTCGAAAACTTGGTATAGCAGAGAACCAGACTCCTTCTATTTATAGGCCTAAAAATGTGGTAATGCACCCCATAAATTAATTTGTGGTAACGTTGGACCTAATCACCAAAATCAGGGTCCAGCAGCATGGAACATGTTTTTACACGTCCGTGATGAGGTCAGTGTGAAAATATACACCAACATCACCTAATTACTATAGCTAGGCCTATATTTTTCTGTTTTTGTTTTATCATCATTCAAACCTTTGACTTCATATCACTGGGCCGGGTTGGTCCAGTGACTAAGATCTCCTCTCACTATCAACTTCAGAATTCGAATTTGGAGTTGATTTAGTTATTTTAGCAAGTTGACACATGAACCGATGCCATCTTCAAGTCATGGTTCAAAGTCGCGGTCGCGGCTTGGACCGTTCTACATCAGTCTCGGCATATCGGTCGCGGTCTCGACGAGACGCGAATTTTTGAAATATTTAATATTCTAAAAGTTGTAAAAAATATGATAAATAAAAATAATTAAAAAATTAGTAAAAATAATAAAAATTCGAATTAACTCGGGATGACTTGGAGTGATTCGGTGTGACTCGGCCATTTCAACCCTTCACGGTGACATTTCGGCGAGTTAAGTATCTCGGTATCGTTTCGTCACGGTATCGTATCGGCAAGGGCCGAGACGGTGACTATTCGGCCGAGTCGTCTCGGTCTCGGCCGAGTCTTCGAACCATGTCTTCAAGCATATTAAAGGCTCTTTCTCTTTTTTTGAAGGCTAGTACAGGAGCAGGTGACATTGCATGTTGTATGTATCACTTTAGTAGCAACTACTCACTAAATTCTTTTTTCTTAGATTAATAAAATTAAAAAGTTGATTATTTGAAGTGTTGTATTACTATCAAACTTCCCCCCCAAGAAGACAAAAGACACTATCGTACTATGTTTAGCCCTGTTAAGTGTCATTTTTAGTGAAAAATTCAGAAAAACAATAGCCAAATAATTTAGAATAGAGAAACATAACTTTTTTTTTTTTTTTTTTTCCAAGTTGAGAGTGGGAAATAGAGACAATTATGTTTCAAAATCATATTTTGCTGCTTACTTTACAGGAAAAGAAGAACACTAGGGAAAGAATAAGCGCTAGAAAATACTATGTCACCACTACATAGTGCAGGCATATATGTCCAAGGAACTAAAATGCATACAAATACAAGTATCACTGCAAAAGCTTTACCAACTTCAGAGGTTAATGAACTGGCTTTGACTAGCTTGGGAACAATGACTAGTCAAAATCTTTACTTATGCACCAATAAAATTCAAAAAAAAAAAGAAAAGAAAAGAACACACATACACACACTTGCGTGCATGCGCACAAACAAACAAAATCTTCAGTTGCCTGGAACGATTGCTGAGAAGAGCAGATGGTTTATGTCTTCAGGACCTGACTCCTGCTTCTCATCACATTCATTGCAGAGGGAATCTGCACATGAAGAAACTATATCCTGCAAGATATAACTTGCTTGGTAATTGTTTTTGCACATAGCAGTTTATATTTTATCCCGACTCATATAGGTCAAATCCATCAAGGCAGAATCTTTTCTTTGTTGATGATATTCCTCACATACAAGCTGAAGTAAGCCATAGAGCCCTTCAATATCTAGCTGGTAGCCCTTTTGACAAAACATTGAAGCTCCAGATAGCATACTTACTTTTTGAAGATAACTGTTCTTGATCTCACTTGAACTGTCCACTCCTCAATTATCTGATTGAAGTTTGTGTATGCAGAGTCATTAGAATCATCAGTAACTGGAACCCCTGTTGACGCTTGAAGCCTCTGCAGTAATGACCTGTTTCCAACCAAGATTACCCTGGCTTTGTCAATTAAATCCTGCTTGGCTGCAAGAAGTTCACGACACTGCTCATTAAGGGATGATACCTCCTCCTGAATTTTCTTGATTCTGGCCACAAGCTTCATTGGGTTTGCATTATCGGGGTAGATTTGCTTGAACTCCTTGTCAAGTCTGTCATGGAGCATGGCGAGATCATTGTTGGCTTTATTGAAAAGATTGAACAGCCCATCTACTGCTTCATGGTGCTGATGTTTTTCATTCTGCTCATCATAATCATACCCCATCTCCACTCTCTTGTCAATTCCCCTCTCTACAACTCATCTACGCTTCAAAATGATGGCAGCGAGCGGGGAAATTGCAAAAGAATTTTTGAGGTAAGGAGGGGGCGGGACCGCGGGAAATGTCCAGAAACATAACTAACATCACCAGTATGCTTAGTAAGTACCAAGCATTTATAAAGAAAGACAGCTTCTTAGTTTGACTATTTCAAGTGTTTTATTACTATCAAAATTCTCCCTCACGAAGACATATAAAACACTATTATAGAATGTTTAGTCCAGTTGATTGTCAATTTTAGTGAAAGATTTAGAAAAGCAATAGCCAAATAATTTAGATTAGAGAAGCATGACTAACATCACAAGAATGCTTAGTAGGTAGCTATGAAGAAAGACAATTACTTAGTTTGGGAATGAATGGTTCGCACATTGATGTGTTACTTTCAATGATGATGAATTAAATATGATTTCTTGTACATATTCTCGTTGAAATTAAGTTGGAATATGGTAGAGATGAATGTGACTTACCAAAGAAAAATCCAAACTTTATTTAAGAGGTCGTATAGAAATTTCTATTTGGCATATTTATGAGCTTGGCCATACCTAGTATTAGAAAAAGAAGAATGAGTACTTAAACAGTTAAACCTAGAGAAATTATATCCATCAACTTTGAAATTGCTAATGAGAAATTTAATGTTGGACCTAATCACCAAAATCATGGTCCACCAGCATGGAACACGTTTTTGCACGTCCGTGATGAGGTCAGTGTGAAATTATACTAATATCTGTTGCTAGGCCTATAATTTTATGTTACTGTTTTATCATCACTCGAACTTTTGGCTTCATGCCCCTGGGCTGGGTTGGTCCAAGGCTAAGAGCTTCCTCCTCCGTCAAGTTCAAAGTTTGAATCACAAGACTGACAGTTGGGGGTGGAAAGGGGTGTGGAGAGGAGATGGAGGGTTAAAAAAAAAAAAACCTTAGGCTTAAATCTGATAATTCCAGTTACATAATAAGTTATATTTTTGGTATTTCTTTCAAGATTTGATGTATTTCTTAACGAGTTGATGTAAAAGAAGACGATTGACAATTACTCGAACAGATATACATAGACTCTTGAAAGATCTATACAAACCAAAAAAAGTAAAAGACCAGACAAATATACCTGCTATTTATAACTGCATTTTGTGAAGCCTACTCTCGTAGTGATTCAACTATACTTATAACCAAATCATACCAACTTTCATGATTTTGAAATTAACTATAAGTTCATTTTAGTATATGAGGACTATTTTGAACCTAAGCTCATGCCACGTTTTCCGAGCTATAATTTTCTGCAGAAAATTTTTACCTTTTAAAAATTACACACTTTATCCCAATTTCTCAAAATGCATTCTAGATCATTCTTTTGTCAAAATAATCAATGCGCGCATATGTAAAATGATCAAAACATGCATTCTAACCCTCTTTAACAAATCAAGAACAACAATTACTCAGATCAAGGAATTAAGTTTCTTGATCGAAATTCGCCATTTTCACCTCAATTGGCTTCTTTTGCTTCTTTTTCCCATTGCTACAAAACAAACATAACAAAATATCAACACTTAACTAAACCCAAAAATCGCACTTAATTGAAATAAAATACTAAAATATTGGGTTGCCTCCCAATAGGCAACAAACTGTTTTCACAAAAAAAAATCTTTTAAACAAAGATTATCCAAGATTATAGAATAAGGAGAAAACATTGATCAATTAAACATGTTCCAAGGACAAAAAAAAAAAGAAGAAACCCCCGCGTGAATGGTCCAGCGGTAGCACCTCCCACCGGTGACCGAGAGGTCCCAAGTTCGAGTCTCTGCTTTGCTGGATTCCTCCGCGCACATATCGTGCTTGGGCTGGGCTGGGGCGCCTGGCCGGGCCGCAGGGGATTAGTCGGGTCCCGTAAGGATTGACCCGGACACCCCTGTGTAGACAAAAAAAAAAAAGGACAAAAAAAGAAGAAGAAGAACTTTAGGTCAAAGTTAGACTCTAATGACGCAGCATTGAAATGAAATCTGTCCTTTCACCAACTTATGTCTCACACCTCACAGTTATTTTTTCTATTCAATATACAATTTTTTAATGTTAAAATTTCAGTTTGGCTAGGTGTTACTTTATTTTTTAGAAAATATAACTAGGTGTTAGTCTTTTTTTGAAATGTATAGTTAATTATGGAACATATCGAAATGCAAGGAGTGCAATTATTGTGATTGCATATACTTATCCACTCATTAAGTGCAATTGAGGAAGGTGCATTTAAGTCATCACTTAAAACAAGTCTTATCCATGCTCTTAAAAGGAAGCAAAAATATGTTATTCCGTTTTTAAACCAATATTTTATGCAAATATTACTTTTATTGATACTCAAAAAGTTACAGAAGAGGGAAGACTATTGTGACATGGTCATGGTTGCAGTTTAGTATAGTCATAAATACATGGAAGATCAGGTAATCATATAGAAGTAACTCAGAAATCTAAGTATTAAGTCATACAGTGCAATTGGAGTCATCCAGTGTCATGGTCGGAGCTGCTACTATGATGAACTTGAATTTTGCGCCGTCTTATAATTAATTTAATACGTGTGAAAATTTGACAAGGACCAATGTGGAACACGTTTTGACACATCGGTGACTAGGTCAGTGTGGAAATATCCTCAAAGATCACCAAATTAGCTTGGCCTATAAATTAAATATCCTCATTTTTCAACAAAACGTATAGTTCTGTCATGGTCATTACCTTAAATGCATTGAATTTATTTTATAATTACAATAGCACTATGAATCATTTTACATTCCACCATTAATAGAAATAATAAAGGAAAAAACTCACTAAAACTAATAAAAAATTCATAGAATGACGCAAAGGGGAACAATAAATTATTTAGGAAGATAAAAACTTTAACTCAAATGACATAAAAGAGAACAATATTCAAGTCATTTAAATTCAACCAAAACACGAAAACATTGATACTATTACAAAACAAAAGTGCTCTTGGGATAAAGGATACTTTGCTGCTTGCGCATTTGTGTTGGTTAGGATAAATCAAGTTTCAAAAAATATAAAAAAATATAAACGTTTAATATCACATTATTTTTATCTCAATTTCATTGATTTTTTTTTTAATTTTTGAGAAGAAAAGGAAAATCGAAAAGCATCATATTCACGTGGAAAGCACCTTCTCTGTTACTAGTGTGCATATATGTGTGTGTATATATATGTTATGTATATATATATATGTGTGTGTACGTACGTACATATAAATATGTGCGTATCCTACCATATGTCAAGTGCCTGAGCATTTAGCTACAGTGAAATCAAGTGAGAGTTTTGGACTAAAAGGAAAACTAAACATAGTTCTAAAACTGAAGGGGGAGGAAAGTCTAATTTTTTTCCTTAATATTAACGGTAAGATGTTATTTTCTTCTTGATTGCTTGAATGATTTTGTGTTGAATTTCATGATCTCTAATTCATTGAATTTCAAACAAAAAATGGGGATAAGTATGTAGATCTATTAATTTTGTTGTCACATTTTAAAGAGAGAATATCATTCTTTGCTCATACCTATGCATTCTGAACTTATTTAGCACATGGTAAGATACACATTGTTTAGAGATGACCAAAAGAATGGTTGCAGAAAGCAGAAACTCTGATCTTTGAACTGTAGTTTTTGAGTTATATGTCTTTTCCTCGATATATCAGTTAATCTTTCATTTCTTTTTAAGGTTTGGATTCATTTTAAGTAATATTTAGCTAGTAAGCTTTTATAACTAGTCACGAATATAGTATTTAGTTGACATACAAAACTTAGTGATTGGAACCTGCTTGCAAGCAACAGAGAAACAAAATACATTGATATAAATTCAAACACAGAAGGCTGTTTTTATTTATTTAATGGTGCATTTTTGTTCGTATAAGTGCACCTTTGACATACTAGTAAAATGACACACACTCAAACACACAGCGGATTTTTTATTTAACGGTGCATTTTTGTTCGTAGAACTGCACCTTACATACTAGTACAACAGCAGGGAGATGTATGCATGCCAGCAATACATCATCCATGCAGAAACTGAAAACCACACCAAAGACACTATATAATTAGAGTACTTAATGTCGTTGATCCTCAGTTGATCAACAGCAGTGCTTGCTTACTTCTTGTGCCAGATGAGTTTCGTTTCACTTGGGGTCTGAAGAACAAGTGCTTTATGGAGATATGTGGCACCGTCGCTATCCTGATTTTCAATGATAAGTGCGTAGTAATAACCTCCATCACCGCTCCACGTGAATCCTCCAACCACGGCGACGAAAAGCAGCTGGCCGTGGTGGCATTGTTCCACTACAAATTCTCCGATCTGGACCACGTGAGGGTCAGCCGGCTTCACTGGTTCTAGTTCACTGATGTCGTTCTGTAAACCCCAAACATATTTTTCAGTATCAAAACCCAAAATAATTGAGTTTCCCAAAATCAATTAGAATCCTTTCAAATAAACAAACGACCAGAAAACTAAATCCGACCAATTAATAAGAAACTGTATCACTCAGAAGAAGCTTAATCAGACAATTCAAGAGACCGCCTACACATATGCATGTAGACAACTAGAATACATAAAATATTGCTTAAGAAAATTCAAGAATGTTAATGTTACTTTAATTTGCAACTCCTTATACTCTTGCAAACGTTTCTGTACAAGTTGTTTATGAGTTGATTCTCAAAACCACACACAAACTTGTAAAAGAAAGAAATCTAAGTCTAGCTAGGCGTACAATCGCTATTTACCTTTCCAGTGCCAATAGCAGATTTGGCTGCAGCCATTTTTTCCTTAAAGAGCTAGCTTGCTAATTAATAAGGATGAAAATAGATATTTGTAACTGGTTACTGTCGAAAACTTGGTATAGCAGAGAACCAGACTCGTTGTATTTATAGGCGTAAAAATGTGGTAATGCACCCCATAAATTAATTTGTGGTAATGTTGGACCTTATCACCAAAATCAGGGTCCACTAGCATGGAACATGTTTTTACACGTCCGTGATGAGGTCAGTGTGAAAATATACACCAACATCACCTAATTACTATAGCTAGGCCTATATTTTTCTGTTATTGTTTTATCATCATTCAAACCTTTGACTTCATATCACAAGGCCGGGTTGGTCCAGTGACTAAGATCTCCTCTCACTATCAACTTCAGAATTCGAATATGGAGTTGATTTAGTTATTTTAGCAAGTTGACACATGAACCGATGCCATCTTCAAGTCATGGTTCAAAGTCGCGATCGCGGTTTGAATCGTTCTACATCGGTCTCGACATATCGATCGCGGTCTCAACGAGACACGAATTTTTAAAATATTTTTTTTTATCAATTTATTTTATTATTATAAAGAATCGAAAGTACATAGAGGGAGACAGCACCCCCAGCATGCCTGAACAAGTAACCCAACCTATCCTTTATATCTACCCCTACGGAAACTAAGGCAACCCCACCTATCCAAAGTAATGTCTCCTCTAACCAAGCGGGGAAGATCAACAAAGGAGTCGTAAACTACCGACTCCCCCGAATCAGCTCCAAGCTTCGATAGTCTATCCACAGGTTTATTCGCTTCTCGCAAGCAATGTGAAATCTCTTTGTAATGACGGCTATACCGCAGCAATTCTTGTACGTCCCGCTACACAACCCACGGACACTTGACTCTTCCCTGAATGATTTGGACAAGGACCAACGAGTCAGACTCCAAGTGTACATTGGACAGTCCTCGAGCTATACCCAACCGCACCCCGTGTAATAGCGCTTTCACTTCCGCTTGCAAACTAGTCATCTCCCCAAAATAACAGGAAAATGCTAATATGACTTGCCCATTCCTATCCCTAATCAGACCTCCCCCTCCACTCCTCCCAAGGTTGCCCCTTGAGCATCCATCTGTATTTAAAAATTGTAAAAAATATGATAAAAAAATAATTAAAAAATTAGTAAAATTAATAAAAATTCGAGTTAATTCGGGATGACTCGGAGTGATTCGATGTGTACTTAAAGAAGAATGAGTACTTAAACAGTTAAACCTAGAGAGATTATATCCATCAACTTTGAAATTTCTAATGAGAAATTTAATGTGCCAATGACTTCAATCTTCCAATTAGAAATTCACAGTTTCTCCTGTGGTCCACCCAATATTTGCTTTCACGTACATCTATGCTTCTGAATTAAGGGCAGACTTGGGGTATGAATTAAATTAATTTATGGTTAACTTCCAAGTCAAGGATAGTTGTACAGTGACCAAGCCACAAATTGATCTTAAGACAATTTCAGAGTTCTTTATTAAAACATAAAACTTACAGAGGCCCTCCATAATTATAAACTTGAAGCAACGTACAGAAACCTATTTTGGTTTAACAAAGTTGAACCATGAGTGAAACAACAAACCAAATGAGCTGAACAATCATGAACAATTTGCTCCATGGCACTAATCAAACTCCTTTCCTCTTTGGCCCTTTCATCTTGTCCTAGCTTGATGAAGGAAAATTTCCTTCCAAGAATGATGAGAACATAGCGAGTGAGCGGGCAGGCTTATAGCTGGGAGCGAACAATCCAGCTCCTTTAAGAGTCACAAATGTTGAGTTCTCATATTCCACCACAAATCCTGCAACCTAATCATTTTCAATTTAGAACAGATTCAATTAATACTAGTATCAAGAGGAAGTGAATGACTTGAATAAATACAATATATTTGAACCTCACTTTTGTTTTACCTCGCCTTGGGAGTACCACGGTTGCCAAGGGGCTTTCACGGCTACCCCTAGCTTCTTTATGGCATACCTAGTTGCCGTCACGGGTATAAAGCTATTTGTATCTCCACTGGAATTCATCAAAATTGTTGCAATGTCTTAGTTAACACAATAGATGGACAAAGGCAGATTGTCGTAAATGCTAGCTTTTCCACAACCACAAATTCATCACTTAGTTACCTATGCATCCATACGTTAATGCCACCTGCCATTAGCTCCCTAATGGTAGATAAAACTGTATCTGGACTATCGGTCCAATTAATGAATCTGCTATATATGGATATCCAAGCCATAGAACGATGATAGTTATGTACGTCACAAAAAATATACTTCAAATATTGATATGAAATAATGTAATAGCAATGGCACGATAGCATACGTACCTGCAGTAACCCATAAGTCCAATTCCAGTTGCATTCGCATGAAGCGACTTTTGCACTTCAGGATTGTTTAGGTAGGATAACGCATAATCATCCGCGCATGGATCTTCACCGTATATCTATTTCAATCAACGGAAACATTGCAAATTGCTGTAAGTAATTTGGCTTTTCATTCAGATGAGAATAGAAAGGTAACATATCATATATGAAGAGTAGAATTGTACCCAAGGAGCATTGGAAGTAGAAGAGCACACTGGAGCATAGATGTTGTAGCGATTGATGTTTCCCATTGCCTTCACCGCTTGTTCGGCGTACTTATTACAAGTGCAATTTGAGACTAAACCTTGATATATTTCATCAGATATTAGGCTACGTGACCACAAAAAATCATATGGTCCCTTGCTTTGGTTTTCTGTATCCACAATAGCATTTCCCATCTGAAAATAACAAGACAGCATCATCATTAGATGTAAAACATATTGATGTTTGAACAGCACATATAATGTAACCAATAAAGGAAAAAAAAGAAACAAAACTTACTGCAATTCCTTTCAAGTTAATTACCGTTTGGTTAGTTATTTTGTTGTTATGGAGGATAAGCTAAGCAAGTTCAGGTACGAAAAAGCCAGCATAATCTTCTTCAGCTATGTAAAAGTCTCTGCTTTTGTAGTTAGCGAATCTTTCCAACCAATTTTTTAGGAATGTGTAAGAATCTTTTGCCGTTTGTTTATCTCCAATAGTGTAATCAGATGACGTGTTTGAGTAAGAAAATCCAGCACCTGCCGGTGATTCCGAGTAAAGTATGTTTGCCACTGAATTCAAACATGATAACTCTCGAGAGCTCATTAAAATATTTGCAAAAGAATTTTAGTGTTATAAAATTGTATGGATTCGCTTCTACCTTTATTCCAGGCATATTCATTGTGCCATAGTGTTTTGTTATCTTTACTGACTCGAAATGGACCTTGTCCACTCATTGCTCCAACACCCAGAGAAGAGCAGCCACGCCCTGCCATCACCCATTAAGAGATTTTTTCCAAGTTACGCACATCCAGAATGCTTAATAGGTTAGGGAAAATAATTAGGACATATACCTTGGTTTAACCACAGCACAAGAGGCTTGCTAGAAGGGTTTTCGGACTCGGAAATATAGTAAAAGAGAGCTCGACCAGCCGTAGGACCAACAGTGACATACCCTGAATATTGATCAAACTTTACTCCTTTTGGTTCCCTGGCAATGCGATGATTTTGTTGGCTGCTTTAAACCCCTCTTGAGGACCAATATATACTGGCGAATACTGATGAGCTGAATCCTCATCAGTAATGTAATTGTTTGATCTGTTTAAGCTCTCAGGGAGGAGGAATTTTCGAAGGGTCTCGTATTTTTCTCCCTCGTAACATTTTACAAATGAAACTTGGCTTATGAGGGTAAGAAATATGACTAATGCGCCTTTCATCATTGACACGTTGAACTAGAAGTGATTGTTTTATGAATCAATCCATCAGCATTCTATTTATAGTTTAGGAAACCAGTGTTTAATCTATAGCACTATGTATTTGTTGGTTTCTTCCTGATAAATTTACCTTGGCATTAATAAATGGCATTTTCTAGACGGGATAAAATTCTGTCTTCCCGGTGTATTGTGACTTGATTTGGCTTTTGGGTAAACAAGCAGTAACAACATTAATTTTTCTCAAGCCAAAATTAAAGGATTTTGACATCTTACCAGAGACATAAAAGAAGGCTATCATGCATTGTTTTTAAATCGAGTCAGACTGACCGGCTTGACTGGTTAAACCATGAACAGATCATGACACCAATCAAATTGGATATCAAAGCTGGAAATAAGTTAAATAACTAAAAACCGATCAAAATCGACAAACCAGTATATAACCAATTGAACTGTAACCTGCCGATTTGTAAAATTTGTTCACATAAATCCAACTAACTGAAAAAATCAAACTTAAAAAATCAAGCTCTAAATTTACTCTTCTCAAGCAACTAGCCATCAACAATTCTCTTTCTCCAATCTATTCCTCTCCTCATCTTCTCTCCTTTTCTCTATTTATCTCCAATCTATTCTATTTTTCCAAAATTTTACAATATCTATAGCTCCATAACCTTATAATCTCCATTCTCATATCTATTTTGCATAGTGCAAATTATTAGTCCAGATTCGTCCACACTGGAAACTCTAGGACAAATTGGTTCAATCATATATACTAATTGATGGCACAATTTATTATGATTTTCAATATCTTAATCTGCTGATGTATATATATCTAAATATTTCATTTTCCTATCGTGTATGCATTCCTTGTAAAGCACAATCATGTCCTTGTATAGACAAACATGTAGATGATTTAATAACCATAGAATGACAAAAGCTTTTACACAAATCCCATTCATTTCTTACCAAACACAAGAACCGGGCTAGTTGCATGTTTCTGTCTTTTTCGCTATGATTTTTGATATTTTGTAGTATTGATTGACTCCTTGTAGTTTTTCTTTTTGTTTGCGTCCCTTTTGCTTGTTTTATGGTTTTCATTTTTTAGAGCTAGTTAATTTATGTTTTGTGGTGCTAGTTTTATTTTTCATTTTCCTTTACAATTTTGATTTTATGTTTTTTGTTGCAGTGGTAATTAGTTTTGTGTATGCATGTTTCCTTTTTCCTTATGTTTTTACCGTTATCAATTTTTATGGTTTCGGTTTTCATTTTTGAACTTGTAGTGCTAATTAATTTCCTATAGTTTTTTTTCCTTCTTTTTTGCTGTTTAACACCTTTTTGTCTAATTAATTTTATTTAGTTTTAATGATAAAGAAGGTGCGCTGATGTCTATGAGGAACACTTATGGATGAGGATGATGATGATGAATTGTGATATAGAGCTTTTTTTTTGGAGATGCGCCGTGTGTTGATGAGGATGAATTGAGATATAGAGAATTTTTTGGAGATGCACCATGTGTTGTAACTGTTTGTGAAGATTTGAGGCTCATACGAAGAAAAAAAATGTGGTTTGACTTAGTTTGTAGAATTTGTAAATTTTTTTTTGTAAAATTTTAATTATTTTCCTTGTTTTGTATGATTAAAATTTTTTTTTTTTGCTTTTTCAATAATTGGACTTTTCCTTGTAACAAATGCAAGTTTTTTCCTTGTTCTTTATGATTTTATTTTATGTTTTTTGGTATTGGTAATTAATTTTCTGCAACTTTGTTTTTCCTTATGTTCTTATAGTTTTCCTTTTTTATGGTTTGGGTTTCTTTTTTGACCTTGTATTGCTAATTAATTATCTGTAGTTTTTCTTACGTTTCCCCCATCTTTTTTGCTATTTTGATGTTTAACGTCATTTTGTCTAATTTCTTTTATTTTTTTTTATGATAAATAGGGTTTGCTGAAGACGGTGATGGACACTTATGGATGATGATTATGAATTGTGATATGCAGATTTTTTGAAGATGTGCCGTGCGTTGTAGCTGTTTATGAAGATTTGAGGCCCATATGAAGATGTTGCTTCCAAACAAAATATGTGGTTTGATTTAGTTCGTAGAATTTGTAATTCTTTTTGTCGAAATTAAAATTATTTTTCCTCAAGTTGATCAAACTTTTGAACTTTTTTACGTTAACTAATTTCTTTAAATATAATAGAAGATAATAAGTGATAATTAGTTTGCATTTGGAATCTAAATCTAGTGGCAATGTATTTCAAAAGGATTACAACAATTTTTAGTAAAGAGATAAGTGAAAGATATAATTGCTAGACAAGAATATCATTGATAGTAAAATAAAAAAAAGGGTTGAACCATGAACCAAACACTTAACCAGTTCACCCTCTGGTTTGAGTTTTTAAACATTGATACCATGACGAGAGAGAGGTCAAGCGGTTACGCTAGGCGGCTTTTGGATTTTGATATATGCCAATTTTTAGTTGACTTCAAACTTTGTCCTATCCTTTTAGAGTCAGAATCTGACCGGATTCTTTTTGTGCCGCATTCTTGCTAACTGCACTGTAGTGTCCATTAATTCATGCAAGAATCAGCTGGACAACATCGTTTTACAGAGGAAAAGAATGGTAATTTTTCAGGGAAATATCCACTGAGATGGTAACTTAAAGGTTTTCCCTCTTCCTGATAGTAGTGTTTACCTTTAGAATTCAAAATCCATATTGTCAGGTTATAGTTGGAAATATCATATATATATATATATATATATTATATTTATATATTGGAGTTATATGATAAAATATAAAATCATAAGAAATTAATATATCATACACATTATATTTATATGTTTTGATCATCTTAGTCATTTTAGTTTTTAAATACTCCCTTCGTCCCACTTTGATAGTCCCGTTTTCCTTTTTCGTCTGTCCCAAATTGTTGTCCACTTTCCAATTGAAGAATGTAGTTGTATTTTAATTTTCCTAAAATACCCTTATTCAATGTAAGTTGTTGTTACTATAAAACTACCCCATTTAATGAGAGTTGATTCTTTTTTTACCATCAATTCAAGTTCCCATAAAGTTGTACCATATTTAATGTAAGGGTATTTTAGGAAAATAGCAATCTAAATTTACTTTTCCAACAAAGTTAATTACTTTTTCTTAAACTGTGTGAAAAAAGAAATGGGACTATCAAAGTGGGATGGAGGGAGCAAAAGTAATCTGAACATTTTTATAGATCCTGTTATAGAAGATTATTTTCATCAATTTGATATTTTAATCCACATCATAAAGAGATTTTATATAAATTTTGAAATCATATGTAGATTATGTGAAAAATTATCAAATCATAGGAAGGCAAAGTGTATTTTACTCTTGAGAATATGACTTTCTTGAACTTCCAGTTTTAACCATCACATTGTACAATTGCCACATCGCATCAAAGAATATGAGCTTGAATACCTTGGACAACTGACAAACCGACAAAAGAACAAAAAGAAAGTGACGAAGCCATCATATTTAATGGTGCCTTTTTATTGGTATCAGTGCACCTTTATCATACAGGAATACAAACTCAAACATAAACGGTGGTTTTTATTTATTTAATGGTGCATTTTTATTGGAACAACTGCACCTTCAATGTACTAGTACCACCGTAGGGAGACGTATGCATGGCAGCAGTACATCATCCATGCATAAACTGAAAACCACACCGTAAACACTATATATAATTCATGTCATTGATCCTCAGCTGATCAAGAGTAGTGCTTGGTCAATTATTCTTATCATTGTACCAGATGAGAGTGTGACCAGTGTTCCCCGGTAGATCACAAACCAATGCTACGTCGCAATGTGTGCGGTTATTATCCTGAGTTATAATGGCAAGCATGTAGTAAGTGCCAGCGTTAGGGCCTATTTCAATTTTCCACCAGAAGCCGAATTCCACTTTGATGAAAACCCGCCCGGTGATCTGTGCAACTGCAAATTTTGCGATCTCAATCACACAAGGGTCTTCCACTTTGACGGTTGTCGCCGGAGGAATAATACAGCTTACACCACCACCCATCATGTTTTTCTGCAAACCCCAAACATTATTTTTCAGTAAGAAAACCCAAAGCAGTTGAGTTCCCAGAATCGGTTAGACTCCTTTCAAACAAAGGAACAACCAGAAAACTAAAGCCAACCAATCAATTGATAAGAAACTACAATGCTCGGAAGAAGCTTTATTATCAAACTATTCAAGAGACCGCCTACCCATATGCATGTAGACAACTAGAAATATAAAATAATGCTAGTCAAGACTAATCAAGAATGTTCAAATTACTTTACTTTAATTTGCAACTCCTTGCAAATTTTCAAACGTTTCTATACAAGTTGTTTATAAGTTGATTCCCAAAACCATGCACACACAGACTTGAAAAAGAAAGAAATCCAAGTCTAGCAAGGCATACAATCACTATTCACCTGTCCAGCACCAATAGCGGCAGTAGCGGATCTGGCTGCGACCGTAGACATTTTTTCCTTGAGGAACTAGCTAGCTTATAAGTATGAAGTAGATTTTTGCAATTGCTTGTGACTATCGAAAACTTGATAGCTGAGTTTGGTACATTGAAATAACAAGCCAGGCTCCTTGTATTTATACGCTCACCCAAAAATGCGATAGTGTATCCCATAAATTAATTTAGCGTGCTGGGCATAATCATTAGAATTATCCGACTTTTGCACCAGCATGGTCCACCACCACGGAAAACGCCGATAGCTAATCGAGTGACACGAATCTGCGCGAAATTCCCGCACCGGCCGTATCATACATAGGCCTTTCCAAACTTTTCGCAGAGGGTTTTTTGATACCTTTAGCAGAATCTCATCTATATAAGGGTTGGATAGGTTATGCGAATATTGAATCCGAATGAATTCTTAAATGCTTATGATACAATTTGAATTCTTGCTGGTTAATGGGTTTTGCAAATTGTATAGGCTAGAAAACTATCAAATTGTTAATTAAGCCCGATTATACACTAATTTTAATTCTTCTAAATATGTAGTATAATTCTTCTAAATATGTAGTATATGAATACTTGTTTTATGCTAATGCATGTGCAACGGAAATTGAGCCCGATTATAGAAAACTTGTTTTATTGTAAGTTTTGTCATTATATTATACTTTTGTTTTTGGCTAGCAGGTGCTTATTGAGCACTCGATAACAAAGGGTCTAGGTATTAGTTTTTTAAAAAAATATAGTTAATTTAGGAAAGTATTACAATTAAAGTGGTGTTCTTTTTAATAGGTAGGAGGTCTAAATGCACGCGCAGAATAATAATGGGTGTGCATCTTGTGACAAATAAGCTAATAGCATATTCACACTAGTAATTAAGTATATTGTCAAAAATATTGTTGAACTAGAAGTAGTAAAATATAAAATCATAACTTGTATAATATTTAAGCTTGTTTTAATATGCCAACAGAAGGTAGTGGCTTCGCAAAGAAATTGGATGTCATATATTGGCACATTAAATCAAGGCTCAAAGTGTTTAACCCTAATTCCTTAAGGGGACCGAAGTGGGAAACATGTGAAGGTGGGTTTCGCAGTCGACTCAAGTTCGAGAGGATGGCATCGGCAGACGACTTTCCTAGCCTTGAACAATTAGTGCTAAACGGATGCCTGGATCTTGCTGAAATACCATCTGCACTTGGAGACATTTGCACCTTGCAGGTGATTGAAGTGTGTCGTGCATCAAACTCTCTTGTTCATTCATCCAGGCAAATTCAAGAATCACAGAGGAGCTGGGGTAATAATGACTTCAAGGTCTTTATTCACCACCACTTTCAATACAATATTTGGCTCTGATGCTGCGAGCGGAATCATCGTTAGAGTGAGTCAATTATACCAGCTGCTCCTACCTTTTTCTATTTCCTTTCCAATTTCGAGCCTTTCATTTGTGCGTATGTCGTTTGAATCTGATGCTCCACATGGTATCTCCATTCGAGTCGCTCAAGTATGTCAATTATGTCTTTGTGTATGCATGGTTGTAACTCAAACAAAGTTTTCTTATGCTTTGACTGCTTCAGAGAATCATCCCGTCAACACTTAAAAGTATGCGTATGATCAACTTGAAGATTCCATAAAAAAAAAAAAAATCAAGGCTCAAAAATAGAAATTTTCATATAGTAGTTTTATTTATTTAGGAATTAGTGTTTTATTATTATACACAGTTGAGAAGAGTGAAAGTTTTAGAGCCTTTTTCTTGTGGTATTATTATTAATTTATTTCGCTTCTCCTACACATATTATTATTTGTGTAAATTGTCTCCCCATATATATTAAGTTTTATGAAATTTATCTCCTACAGATATTTTGGTGAAATTTTTTTGAATTCTACATCTAGTATCAGAGTCTTTGATTCAAGAAATTGATTTTTGGATGCCTGTGCTTAGTCCCGGAAATTTTTCGCTATCAGAGTTAGAGAGCATAATAATTGCTGTGAAAAAGTTAGTTGATCGAGTTGAACCATAAGGTTGATCATAGAATATCTAGTTGGTGAAGATTGGACCATAAGATTGGTCTAGAGATTGTCAAATTGATTGTGGTTATGAAGATAGAGATAAAAGAAAAATCCTGTCAGTTGAATTGTGATTATGAAAATCACAAAATAAGTTGTCAATCAATTGATATCAAATTATGTGATGAAAACAGTCTATACAGGTACATGAATTATTGAAACAAGAAAAGTGTTTAAAAATGAATAACTAGTAAAAACGGCATATTAAATTAAGACTCAAAAATGAAAATTTTTAAATTATTATTTAGCAGTGTTTTAGTCAAGCTAAGGTGACAGGGGTCGAGCCTGTGCAATAATTACCTACTCGAGAAAAATACAGATTTTGTATATAGCTGTGAGTAGGGTCGAATCCACAGGGATTGGGGATAACTTATTTCTTTTAGAGTCCGAAGTATGGGGGGTTTTTTTGAGAATATAAAATAACTAATTAACTAACTAATAAAATAACTACTAGAAATAAATAGAAATTAATCAATAACCAATACGACTCTAGCCAAAGGTATAACTTTTCAGACACGGTCCATGCAACTGATCATCGATGTAAAGATAATTCAATTACTGATTAATAGATTGGTTATAGTTGTCATACACGTGATGAACAACCAGTCTTTCCTTAATTTCTCGATAGTTAAGGTACGACCGTTAACTATTTCTCTAACCAAGAAATAACCCTAGATATGACTATAGAATTTAATTACTCGATTGCATTAATAATTAGAAAAGCCCAACCCTAACCAACAAATACGCTACGAGGGTTTGTTTAAATTAGATCATACGTTTCCCTAACATGAAACCAATCACGCTAGTCGCCACTGGTATTAATCAATTGAACAAGTACGGATTCAATCAATTAATTTGGCATTAGATCATTAAATTTATTTGAATATTAGGCCCTTGACATTCAAATAACATAACAAGCATAAGCAATTAAATCAGGAAACGTACAAATACCAGTGAATAAAAGAAATAAATAAAATTAATTCGATCTCACAGATATCTGGAACCGTGCCTTCAAGTTGGCCTTCGACTAGATGAGAGGCTTAGCCACGCCGCATAAATAAATCTCCACGCAAATTAATTGATAGCAAAGGCATTGCGTTTTTTACTAGAAAGCAAGGAATAAAAGATGTTTTTCCCATTGGGGAATATTGTCGAACAGTAGACGTGCGCCTGACAAAGGAAAAAGAAAAAAAAGAAAACTAAAAACTATCCTAAAAACTAAGCATAAGAGCCGCCCGTACGTTTGTTCCCTTTTTAAAGCAAAAAAGCCAAAAGAAAGATGTATCTCCGGTGGTCCCCACGAATTTTGAACAAGCCTGCCGAATTACTTATTGTTTCAAGTTTCTGTATGTTACTTTCTTTGAAGAGCCCAAATGACTAAATACCTTTTAGTAGCTTCGTGGTCCCCGCCGCATAAGTCAACAAAGGGTACCAAGAGGGCCAGGCCCTACTCAATGTTTCCTCCTTTCCGTTTGCTATTCCTAGTAGAACTCTTAGTACCAATCAATTCTTCATCAGCCAAAGAAACGAAAAATCCGTTTCTTCCTTCCTTGTGGGCCAGGTCTGTTGAGCTTTTAGGAGTCTCAATTTTCTTCAGAAAGTCCCTTTTTTTTTGTAGTTTTTTGCTCCATTTCCTGAAGATAGGTCCAGATACCAAATATAAGTAGATGTTAATAATTAAAACAATATTTAGCAGGAATAAAGGGGAAAATTAATAATAAAATTGCTAACAAATAATACCCTATCATAAGGTTTTAGTAATTCTATTTGAATCAAGTTATATTACTTTTATTATTCAGGAATCAATATTTTACTATTTTATTAGAAAATTTCTTGTGGTATAAGATTTGTTTATCGATTTGGTTTTGAGCATATAGAGTTAAATTGGTACTAGTGTATTTCTTTGCAAATGTTTTTTTATTTTTTTAAATTTATGTTTTTGTGAAATATAGCATTATAACATGGTAATACTACTAGAGATTATTTTTTAGGTGATTGTTTTCTTCAAGTAAACAAAGTGGCTTAGGAGTATTTTTATTTAGTGAGCAAAAGGGTAGTTTAGGAATTTTAAAAGTTTTGTTATACATATAACAAAAGTAAGGGAGGTAAGTGATATTCTAAAAATCTTAGGGGCGCTGGGTGATATTAAGAGAAACATGAGGGATGGACTCTGATATTATACCATATTTCATTAGTAATATTCAACAGTTTTTTCCTAAACTTATAATTCCTTCTGGTAAATCCAACTTCTTTTTTTTTCACTTTATATATCAAACTTACTACTTCGTCAGCCAAATATTTTTCTAGCAAATAAGATTTCACTAATTCTGAAATTCACTTTTTTTTTTGTACCTTCTCATATTTAGTGTCATTCATACTAATTTTGGTCAATTTAGGAAAACTTCTTAGATATGAAAATCATGTAATATGCATTTCTAACAAGTAGTTCTACAAGAAGCTATGTAGAAATATGACCTCCTAGCATTGTCACACACCTAAACTTTTGATGTATTTGATGTATTATTAAGTCCTTTCTCCAACAGTGAAACAGTAAAGGTTGGAACTCAAACAATGAGAGGTAAAGCAAACAAAATTGTAAAGCCAGAAGAAAAAGCTTAAACCACTCAATATTATCCATGGCGTCAGACAACGCCCTTTTTCCAACTTTTTCCTTTTTTTTTCTAGGTTTTTCCTTATTTATGTGTGGCTAGCAATTATATATGGATTCCAAGCAAGGAAGTTAATGCAAACAAAACAAGACGTAAATAGGGAAACTCATAAACCAACTGGTGATGTCGGCCAGGTGGCTTACAAACTGGTGACTTGTCAATGAACATAGTATAGCCTTCATCGCCAGCTCCAATGACCCACTCGTCAGCGTATCTAACAGTTGCAACAGCTCTTTCTAGTTCTAGTTCACATGCGTTAGAATCTAGCTTGACCTCTAGGTATGCTGTATAGGATGCGTTTTGGTGCAGGTTCCTCTCGAGTACACAAGTTTTAATATCTAATGTACAAGATTTTACAAGCTCAGCAACATCAGCTCTGCAAAAACACATCAGAAATCGTTATTTTTAGACGAAATTTTGATTTCTGAAATTCAGTTAATATGTACAGTTCATAAATGACAGAGGCAATATGAAATCAGGTCGGTGTTTTATCCAATTCCGAATGTTATCGAGAAAAACAAAGTCCTACTCCTTTCCATACCTTTCACAAATGTTTCAAACGTTAGCTGTAATAGAATCTTATCTAGCTAAAGGTTGGATAATTTCCAAATTCCTAATCTTATCAAAAGAACAAAAAAAAAATGGTCCTACTCCTTCCCATACCTTTCCTGTAATAGAATCTTATTAAGGGTTGGATAATTTCCAAATTCTGAATCTTATGAAAAGAAGGCCCTTCTCCTCTCCATACCTTTCGTAAATTTTTCGTCGTTACCTTTAATAGAATCTTATCTAATGAAGGGTTTGATAATTTCCGAATTCCAAATCTTATCGTTTCTTGTAATAGAATCTTATCTTTCCGAATTCCGAATCTTATCAAAAATAAAAGAAGGGTTTGATAATTTCCGAATTCCAAATCTTATCGTTACTTGGCATAGAATCTTATCTTTCCAAATTCCGAATCTTATCAAAAAAAAAATGGTCCTACTCCTTTCCATACCTTTCCTCCAACAGAATCTTATTAAGGGTTGGATAATTTTTGAATTCCAAATCTCATATAAAAAAAAAAAAAAAAAAAATCAAAGGTCCTACTCGTTTCCGTACCTTTTCTTCGTTGCCCATAATAGAATTTTATCTAGCTAAGGGTTGGATAATTTTCAAATATTGTGAATGTAATTGTCTCTATTACTCCCACTATTGTGGGTTCTTTGTAATATTATCAAAAAGAAAAAAAGGTTCTACTCCTTTCCATATCTTGCGTAGACATTTCCTCATTACCTATTATAGAATCTTATTTAGGTAAGCGTTGGATAATTTCCAAACATTGTGAATCACCAAATGAGTGTGCATACACAGTGTCAAAATGGGTGGGTTATAATTACATGATAGATATAATTGGATCAATCCATTTACACTCATTTATTAAATATGCCAAAATTGGTGAGTCATAACTTAAAGTACTTAAAGTCGTTGATCCTCAGTTGATCAACAGCAGTGCTTGCTTATTTCTTGTGCCAAATGAGTTTGGTTTCACTTGGGGTCTCAAGCACAAGTGCTTTGTGCAGATATGTGGCGCCCTCGTAATCCTGAGTTTCAATGATAAGTGCGTAGTAATAACCTCCATCACCGATCCACGTGGATCCCCCAACCACGGCGACGAAAAGCAGCTGTCCGTGGTGACATTGTTCCACCACAAATTGTCCGATCTGGATCACGTGAGGGTCAGCCGGCTTCACTGGTTCTAGTTCACTGATGTCAGTCTGTAAATCCCAAACATTTTTTCCAGTAAGAAAACGCAAAACAACTGAGTTCCCAAAATCAATTAGAATCCTTCAAATAAACAAACGACCAGAAATTAAATCCAACCAATTAATAAGAAACTACATCACTCGGAAGAAGCTTAATGAAACAATGCAAGGGACAGCCTACCCACAGATGCGTGTAGACAGCTAGAAACATAAAATATTGCTTAAGAAAATTCAAGAATGTTGGAAATTGCTTTACTTTGCAACTCCTTGTACTCTTCCAAACGTTTCTGTACAAGTTGTTTATGAGTTGATTCTCAAAACCACACACAAACTTGAAAAAGAAAGAAATCTAGGTCTAGCTAGGCATACAATCACTATTCACCTTTCCAGTGCCAATAGCAGATTTGGCTGCAGCCATTTTTTCCTTAAAGAGCTAGCTAGCTAATTAATAAGGATGAAAATCGATATTTGTGGTAATGTCGGACCTAATCACCAAAATCTTGGCCCACCAGCATGGAACATGTTTTTACACGTCCGTGATGAGGTCAGTGTGAAAATATACACCAACATCACTTAATTACTATAGCTAGGCCTACATTTTTCTGTTATTGTTTTATCATCATTCAAACCTTTGACTTCATTTGAAGGCTAGTACAGGAGCAGGTGACATTGCATGTTGTATGTATCACTTTAGTAGCAACTACTCACTAAATTCTTTTTTCTTAGATTAGTAAAATTAAAAAGTTGATTATTTGAAGTGTTGTAATACTATCAAACTTCTCCCCCAAGAAGACAAAAGACACTATCATACTATGTTTAGCCCTGTTAATTGTCAATTTTAGTGAAAGATTTAGAAAAGCAATAGCCAAATAATTTAGATTAGAGAAACATGATTAACATCACGAGTATGCTTAGTAGGTATCTATAAAGAAAGACAATAATTACTTAGTTTGGGAATAAATGGTTCGCACATTGATGTGTTACTTTCAATGATGATGAATTAAATATGATTTCTTGTACATATTCTCTTTGAAATTAAGTTGGAATATGGTAGAGATGAATGTGATTTACCAAAGAAAAATCCAAACTTTATTTAAGAGGTCGGAGAGAAATTTCTATTTGGCATATTTATGAGCTTGCCCATACCTAGTATTAGAAAAAGAAGAATGAGTACTTAAACAGTTAAACCTATACTTCTGAATTAAGCGCAGACTTGGGGTATGAATTAAATTAATTTATGGTTAACTTCCAAGTGAAGGATAGTTGTATAGTGACCAAGCCACAAATTGATCTTAAGACAATTTCAGAGTTCTTTATTAAAACATAAAACTTACAGAGGCCCTCCATAATTATAAACTTGAAGCAACGTGCAGAAACCTATTTTGGTTTAACAAAGTTGAACCATGAGTGAAACAACAAACCCAATGAGCTGAACAATCATGAACAATTTGCTCCACGGCACTAATCAAACTCCTTTCCTCTTTGGCCCTTTCATCTTGTCCTAGCTTGATGAAAGAAGCTTTCCTTCCAAGAATGATGAGAACATAGCGAGTGAGCGGGCAGGCTTATAGCTGGGAGCGAACAATCCAGCTCCTTTAAGAGTCACAAATGTTAAGTTCTCATATTCCACCACAAATCCTGCAACCTAATCATTTTCAATTTAGAACAGATTCAATTAATACTAGTATCAAGAGGAAGTGAATGACTTGAATAAATACAATATATTTGAACCTCACTTTTGTTTTACCTCGCCTTGGGAGTACCAAGGGGCTTTCACGGCTACCCCTAGCTTCTTTATGGCATACCAAGTTGCCGTCACGGGTATAAAGCTATTTGTATCTCCACTGGAATTCATCAAAATTGTTGCAATGTCTTAGTTAACACAATAGATGGACAAAGGCAGATTGTCGTAAATGCTAGCTTTTCCACAACCACAAATTCATCACTTAGTTACCTATACATCCATACGTTAATGCCACCTGCCATTAGCTCCCTAATGGTAGGTAAAGCTGTTAAATCAATCGAGTAGCTCGAAAGCTCGTTAGAGCTCGACTCGTTAAGGCTCGAACTCGGCTTGTTAATTTTGGTTAACGAGTCGAGCTCGAACTCGAAACATGCTCGTTTAGTTAACGAGCTGAGTAAGCTCGGCTCGTTTGATACTCGAGTAGCTCGTTAGAGCTCGTTAATGAAGGGCATATTTGTTATTTTAGAAATCAAAATTATAAAAATTAAAAATTATAGATTTTTATTAAGGTTAATTTGCACGAACTCGAGCTTGAGCTCGAGCTCGTGAAGCTCGACTCATTTGTGATAAACGAGTCGAGCTCGAGTTCGAACTCGAGCCACATGTACATTTAACGAGCCGAGTTCGAGCACATTTTAAAGCTCGTTTTCCTAACGAGCTCGAGTCGAGCTCGGCTCGAATTAAACTCGAGTCGAGCTCGGCAGCCAAATACTCGGCTCGATTAACAGCTCTAATGGTAGGTAAAACTGTATCTGGACTATCGGTCCAATTAATGAATCTGCTATATATGGATATCCATGCCACAGAATGATGATAGTTATGTACGGTCACAAAAAATATACTTCAAATATTGATATGAAATAGTGTAATAGCAATGGCACGATAGCATACGTACCTCCAGTAACCCATAAGTCCAATTCAGGATTGTTTAGGTAGGATAACGCATAATCATCCGCGCATGGATCTTCACCGTATATCTATTTCAATCAACGGAAACATTGCAAATTACTGTAAGTAATTTGGCTTTTCATTCAGATGAGAATAAAAGGGTAACATATCATGTATGAAGAGTAGAATTGTACCCAAGGAGCATTGGAAGTAGAAGAGCACACTGGAGCATATATGTTGTAGCGATTGATGTTTCCCATTGCCTTCACCGCTTGTTCGGCGTACTTATTACAAGTGCAATTTGAAACTAAACCGTGATATATTTCATCAGATATTGGGCTATGTGACCTCAAAAAATCATATAGTCCCTTGCTTTGTGTTTCTGTATCCACAATAGCATTTCACATCTGAAAATAACAAGACAGCATCATCATTAGATGTAAAACATATTGATGTTTGAACAGCACATATAATGTAGCCAATAAAGGAAAAAAATAAAAGAAACAAAACTTACTTTTCAAGTTAATCACCGTTTGGTTCGTTATTTTGTTGTTATGGAGGATAAGATAAGCAAGTTCAGGTACGAAAAAGCCTGCATAAGCTTCTTCAGCTATGTAAAAGTCTCTGCTTTTGTAGTCAGAGAATCTTTCCAACCAATTTATTAGGAATGTGTAAGAATCTTTTGCCGTTTGTTTATCTCCAATAGTGTAATCAGATGACGTGTTTGAGTAAGAAAATCCAGCAGCTGCCGGTGATTTCAAGTAAAGTATGTTTGCCACTGCATTCAAACATGATAAATCTCGAGAGCTCATTATAAAATTGTATGGATTCGCTTGTACCTTTATTCCAGGCATATTCATTGTGCCATAGTGTTTTGTTATCTTTACTAACTCGAAATGGTCCTTGTCCACTCATCGCTCCAACACCCAGAGAAGAGCAGCCACGCCCTGCCATCACCCATTTAAGGGATTTTTTCCAAGTTACGCACATCCAGAATGCTTAATAGGTTAGGAAAAATAAATAGGACATATACCTTGGTTTAACCACAGCACAAGAGGCTTGCTAGAAGGGTTTTCGGACTCCGAAATATAGTAAAAGAGAGCTCGACCAGCCGTAGGATCAACAGTGACATACCCTGAATATTGATCAAACTTTACTCCTTTTGGTTCCCTGGCAATGCGATGATTTTGTTGGCTGCTTTAAACCCCTCTTGAGGACCAATATATACTGGCGAATACTGATGAGCTGAATCCTCATCAGTAATGTAATTGTTTGATCTGTTTAAGCTCTCAGGGAGGAGGAATTTTCGAAGGGTCTCGTATTTTTCTCCCTCGTAACATTTTACAAATGAAACTTGGCTTATGAGGGTAAGAAATATGACTAATGCGCCTTTCATCATTGACACGTTGAACTAGAAGTGATTGTTTTATGAATCAATCCATCAGCATTCTATTTATAGTTTAGGAAACCAGTGTTTAATCTATAGCACTATGTATTTGTTGGTTTCTTCGTGATAAATTTACCTTGGCATTAATAAATGGCATTTTCTAGACGGGAGAAAATTCTGTCTTCCCGGTGTATTGTGACTTGATTTGGCTTTTGCGTAAACAAGCAGTAACAACATTAATTTTTCTCAAGCCAAAATTAAAGGATTTTGACATCTTACCAGAGACATAAAAGAAGGCTATCATGCATTGTTTTTCAATTGAGCCAGATTGACCGGTTTGACTGGTTAAACCATGAATAAGAGGTAATTTCTTGATTACCTCTATCCATGGAGCTTTGGATGTAATAACCATCCATTGCCGATCTTCTATTTCTCGTACATTGTTCGCTCACATTTCCTACTCTCCTTGAACCCCTAAACATGCTTTAAAAGTAACTTAAAAACAAGTTTAGTAAAAAAGAATAGATGACTCGACACATATAAAAATAAGATACTAAACACAAAATAAAAGACTCAACAAGAAACTAAACACAACAAAAGGACACTAAACACAACAAAAACAAGAAAATCAAGAAAAAATGTCTAAATTAATAAGGTTGTTCTTAACACCGACATTGACAAAATCTTCCCCGATAACGGCGTTAAAAACTTGACGAGCGCAAGGTATACATATAACAATTAGTTCATCCACAGTCAAATTTTACATTTATAACATTCTAAATACCCCACCAATTTATTAGGAATGTGTAAGAATCTTTTGCCGTTTGTTTATCTCCAATAGTGTAATCAGATGACGTGTTTGAGTAAGAAAATCCAGCAGCTGCCGGTGATTTCAAGTAAAGTATGTTTGCCACTGCATTCAAACATGATAAATCTCGAGAGCTCATTATAAAATTGTATGGATTCGCTTGTACCTTTATTCCAGGCATATTCATTGTGCCATAGTGTTTTGTTATCTTTACTAACTCGAAATGGTCCTTGTCCACTCATCGCTCCAACACCCAGAGAAGAGCAGCCACGCCCTGCCATCACCCATTTAAGGGATTTTTTCCAAGTTACGCACATCCAGAATGCTTAATAGGTTAGGAAAAATAAATAGGACATATACCTTGGTTTAACCACAGCACAAGAGGCTTGCTAGAAGGGTTTTCGGACTCCGAAATATAGTAAAAGAGAGCTCGACCAGCCGTAGGATCAACAGTGACATACCCTGAATATTGATCAAACTTTACTCCTTTTGGTTCCCCTGGCAATGCGATGATTTTGTTGGCTGCTTTAAACCCCTCTTGAGGACCAATATATACTGGCGAATACTGATGAGCTGAATCCTCATCAGTTATGTAATTGTTTGATCTGTTTAAGCTCTCAGGGAGGAGGAATTTTCGAAGGGTCTCGTATTTTTCTCCCTCGTAACATTTTACAAATGAAACTTGGCTTATGAGGGTAAGAAATATGACTAATGCGCCTTTCATCATTGACAAAGTGATTGTTTTATGAATCAATCCATTAGCATTCTATTTATAGTTTGGGAAACCAATGTTTAATCTATAGTTCTATGTATTTGTTGGTTTCTTCGTGATAAATTTACCTTGGCATTAATAAATGGCATTTTCTAGACGGGAGAAAATTCTGTCTTCCCGGTGTATTGTGACTTGATTTGGCTTTTGCGTAAACAAGCAGTAACAACATTAATTTTTCTCAAGCCAAAATTAAAGGATTTTGACATCTTACCAGAGACATAAAAGAAGGCTATCATGCATTGTTTTTCAATTGAGCCAGATTGACCGGTTTGACTGGTTAAACCATGAATAAGAGGTAATTTCTTGATTACCTCTATCCATGGAGCTTTGGATGTAATAACCATCCATTGCCGATCTTCTATTTCTCGTACATTGTTCGCTCACATTTCCTACTCTCCTTGAACCCCTAAACATGCTTTAAAAGTAACTTAAAAACAAGTTTAGTAAAAAAGAATAGATGACTCGACACATATAAAAATAAGATACTAAACACAAAATAAAAGACTCAACAAGAAACTAAACACAACAAAAGGACACTAAACACAACAAAAACAAGAAAATCAAGAAAAAATGTCTAAATTAATAAGGTCGTTCTTAACACCGACATGACAAAATCTTCCCCGATAACGGCGTTAAAAACTCAAGGTATACATATAACAATTAGTTCATCCACAGTCAAATTTTACATTTATAACATTCTAAATACCCCACATGCGATTTTTTGTAAGTATATGAGTTGAGATCGAGTATAGGGTATTAAAGGTCAAACCCACAGGGAAGAGTTTCAATTACCAGTGGTTTTCGAACTTCTTTATTATTTAGACTATCACTAGTGCAAGAAATTAAATCTACACTATAAAAGTAACAAAAATACAATAGAAAACTCCTAGAAATATGGAATTTCTTACTATTCTTGCAAGTGAAGTTACCGGTTAAGTGAATGCTATTATCTTGACTAGTTATGGTGTAATTTCCTCATGTATGTGAAACCTATTCTCGTAGTAAATCAACTATACTGGTAACTAAGTCATACCTACACTCGTGGTTATGAATTAACTACAAGTTCATTTCTTCTATGAAATTCCATAAAACAAGTCACTAAAGCCACAAAGGTGCACCTCTACTCCCGTGAGCGAACTTCCTAGGTTTATCACTTCCTTGAACTAGTGCTAAATTTCAATTTTCATTGCAAATTTAACATCTTAAGATTATCACAATTAATGGCCAGTTAATCATGATTAGAAAAGCAAAAGTGATAAATAACTTACTCAAAATAATATCATCAAATAACCAAGTAAATATCACTAACAAGATGTAGAAAATTCATTCATAACTCTAGACATAAACTTTAGATGCACATATTGAAACATAAATCCAAAACTTGCATATTAACCATATATTAACCATACTTAAGAATTCAATACAAAAGATAAAGAGTTGGAGAAGAGATAACCCTCGTCACATGAGTTTCAACCCCTACTTCTTCATCTCCATTTTCATCCTAATCTAGCTAATATACAAGAGTGGATAACACACATAACTACCTAAATTATTCTATACTATACTAACCTAGCTAATGAACTAAGGAAATTCTAGTGAACACTACATTTTTGTGGAATTTTTCTAGCCTTCCAAAATTTTTAAAATGATCTCCAAAGGCTACTATTTATAGAGAATTTAAGCTCAAGTTGAGTTCTTTCTTCGTTAGCAAAATTGGCTTTTGAACACACCAAGAGATGTTCTCCAAGTTTCCACACTCTTCCTGGTCAGATATAGTCAAAATTCCTTGCTGGAATTGAGTTGGAAAGTTGTGTGAATAAGGAACAAGTTGTAGTTGAAAATGATGAATACCCGACCTTAGGTCGAGTATTGTATCCCATGTATTGTTTTTTGTAAGTTTGCTCAATTCTGGACAGATTTCATCCTTGCTCTGTTTTTTATCTAACGTCAACTGATATTTTCTTGATGATAGAGGCGGAACTAACTCTTGTGTGAAACATAAAAGTTATAGCCTTTTGAGTTAGCTTTCCAATGCAGCAAGAATCATCCAATTTAGAACTCTGTGGATCAATAAATGACCAAAATACCCTCAACTAGTCAGAAACTTTGTTTCAGCTTTTGACAATGAAATTGCATTTCTTTATTTCGACTTTTTGACTAGAAATATGACTAAACTGAATTTTGATGTCTTCATTTCAAATGTTGATCAACTTTTTAGATTCAAAATGGTTCAAAAATCACCTCCATCCGTGACAGGTTGTCGATGCCTGTGCAACAATAAAAATAAACCTAGTTGCCAATTAAAGTAACCAAAACCCAATTCTAAGTACTGGAGCAGGGACTCTAAGTGTGCAATGGGTTACTTGATTCACCATGTTCCCGAAGAGTTTGTTTAATCCGATACTAGAATGGGATTACTTATTCACAAGGGATTATTGATTTGTAAACAGGGCAAGTAGCATCGTATCCTCAGGGATTGGGGATATTTGTTTCTTTTGAAATTCAAAGTAGCACGGGGGATGTTTTTGTAATAAGGATGACAATTAAAACAGTTCAACTAAAATAAATAGCCAACTAAAAATTAAATAACAATTCACTAAACTCAGAGTAATAATAACTAAAGGTCTAGCCAAGAAATAACGTCAGTAATAGTTCACGTAATTGATCATCGATGCAAGGGCAATTCCAATTATTTACTAATAAATAGGTTATAACTGCCAAACAAGCGATGACAGTTAATCCTTCCTTACTATGTCGGTGATTAAGGTACGCCCGTTAATCACTGCTCTAATTGAGAAATAATTCTAGGTACGCCCGTAAGATTTAATTTCCCAATTGCCTTATGTATTAGAGGAGCCCTATTTTAACCAAATAACGCACTACCAGGGTTATTTCAATTTAGCTTGCGTATTCCCCCGATACAAACCCAATTATGCCAGTTGTCACCATTTCAGAGCAATTAAACAATTACGGATTTAACGCCCCAATTGACAATAAATTACCAAATTAACTAATTATCTGGATCCAAGACAATCAATTAATTGAACAACCATAAACACTGTAATCAGAGAATATGCGAATACCAATAAATAAAAGGAAAAGATAAAATTAAACCGATCTCACAATTTTTAGACGAACCAAAGCCTCCATTGTTTCTTGATTAGAAAAAGAGATTTAGTTCATCCCTGATGAGAAACACCCACACAAAACGGAAGGAACAATTGCGGCCTTTGTCATTGATAGGGAGAATTCAATTTGTTCGAATTATAAAGGAAAAGCAAGTTACAGCGAATGATTCATTTGTTTCTAATTGTCCCTGAAATACGAGGGAAGAAAGCCACAAAAGACGAAAAGCAAAAGTCAAAGAGGAAAAGCTCCAGCCAATAGTTTCAATCGTCTGCCTCTATTTCTATCTAAAATCTAGGGTTATTATCACTTTACTCCCTTCAACTATATCGCTACTAGCAGTTTACCCCCTAACGTTATCTTTTAGTCACTTCGCCCATATAAGTAATTCAACTCAACATGTTAAAAAATTTTGGACAAAAATACCCTTTTATTTTATAGTTTTATTACATTGTTATTACTACTTTATTCCTTTAAATTATAGTGATATAATCACTTTAATTCCTAATATTATTTTCTAAACATTTTACTTCATCGTTAATCTAACTAGTATGATAAAAAAATTTTAAATATATTTACCCTTATAAATATAATTAAAAATAAAAAATTGGAATGATTATTCTTCTTTTTTTTTCATTTTAAGAGATCCAAAAATATAAAAATAAAAGAGTTTTCTCAAATTTCTTTTTTCACACTTATTAATACTAGAAAAAGAAAAAGAGATAGGAAAGAAGGAGATAGAAAATTAGATTTTGCAAAGAAAAAAATAAAAAAGTCTAACATTATCGTATTAATTTAAGGTTATTGGGATTAGAATTGAAATCTGATAGTAAACAATAAAGTAAAATAATTTTAAATAATAAAAGTATTTAATTCTTTCTTATTTGTATTTTTTAAAAAAAGAATTGAGCTCTCTCTCCCCCCTCCCTTCCCCTCCCGATCTTTCTATTTTTTTTAAATATTAATAAGATTTCAAAAAAGGAAAAAATTAATACTTTGATTTTTTTTTAAACTAAAGAGGAGAAGAGCCACTCTAAATTTTTTTATTATTTTTATTACATAAAAAGGAGGGTACTTTCTTCTAAAGGTTTTCAACTTGCTAAATTGGTTTAATGGTGGGACAAATAGTCTAAAAAATAACTCTATGGGGTAAATTGATAATGAGGTTATAGTTTATGGGGGTAAAGTGATAGTAATTTTAAGGGCTAAACTTGTCTTTTTACTTTAATTAACAAATTCCGTTAAGTTTGACCATTAGTTTTGGGGGTAAAGTGACTAAAGGATAACGTTAAGGGAGAAATTGATAGTAACACCGAACGTTAAGAGGGTAAAATGATAATAACCCTAAAATATATGTTATCTCCTGCTATGCGGTGCCACCAACTGGAAAAAGGAAGACTCCTAGTCAGCCAAGGAAAGGGCTCCGTTGTAGCACAATTGTGGGGCCATCGTTGTAGATCTTTTTTGGAAGCTCTTCACGTATGGAATATTTCTCAAGAAGGTCTTCCTTTTTAGCACTTTTTCTGCTCCACCTCAATTTTCAGACCAAATAACAAATATAAGTATATGTTGACAATTAAAACAATATTTAGTAAGTACAAAGAGGGAAATTAACAATAAAAGTACTAATAATTAACACCCTATCAATCCGATATTTTTAGCTCAACATATAGCCGAAATACTAATAGGTGTTAAAGTTAGAAAACTTGCATTTCATCTTTTGAGTATTTTGCACTTCATGTCATCTTTAAATCACTTCAAATGATCATTAATCATCCAATTATTTTCTCAATTCATGTCATTTGATGTTTGAATCATTAAACCTA